GCTCCAACATCAGAAGTTGCTCTCACAGAGTGTCTCTCCCGCTTTCTCTCAGTGAACCAGTTGGGGAGACGCTACTCACTGCCTTATTGTGATAGGACTGGCATGACTAAAATGCGAAGAAAAGCCTATTTCCGATGCTATGACCGAGTTACTGACGCATTGGAAGCTGACCTATCAAGAAGAACTGGAAAATCCCGATTCCAAATTTCCACAGAAGTTCATGAATTGATTTCATCTGACCTTGAACGCGAATGTCACAATCACAATTGACCTCCTCTAGGAATCACACCCCGGGACCNTCCTCCCTCCACACACACACACAAAAGAAATGTGGTCTTCACACGACCATTATCCGATCCGCATACAAACCAGTGTGGCGCTGCACTCCTGTGTTCATTATTTGTCGATATTCTGACCTTACTTCTCATCTGGCTGATAGTTTGCCGCCATCGCTCGTGAATCCAGGCCTTTTACCGGCTCTACAGTCTTTTGATTAGCTTCAATTCGCAGGCTACTTTTCCTGAGGACCAGTGATCAAACCGAATTGGTAGTGTTTTCCCTAAAATTCCGATCCCTTTTTGTAGTTGGTCTACTCTGTGAACGTTTGTTTGCCTTAGATTTGACAGTCTCAAGCTTGGACTAAAATATTATCTCGATATATCTTCTCTCTCTGTGTGTGTCTTTGCTCAGAGGTGTGGATTTCATGTTGCACACGACTGGTTTCGTGCTAGTAGTGTAGTAGTGATTTGATCAGATTAATATCACCCTCCATTTTGGATCCAACAATGAATACGCATCGTGAAAAAGTGCTAGAGGAGCAAAAACACAGGAAAATAGTGAGCCATCGAACCACAACTGCTTAGTTGTGATGAAAAAATGAGAATAAGCTTGATATACACTCCGAACCAAGTGGTAGCAGCTCTATGGAATTCAGCATAGGTTCACACAGCCACCGGTCCTGTATTGCCGCGGGCCGGTTTTGGATGTCTTGCGGTCCCTCATTTATTCCAGGTAGAGGGCTTACGGTAGTGGCAAAATTAGGACACAGAGTGGGACTGTCCAAGAGGTGAGTAGATGCACACAGACCATCGTTTAGGACATTCAGTCATATTGTCCAGTATCACGTGATCCCCAACCGAAGCCTGAAGCGACTCGTATGTTCAAGTCTCGTGGTTTGACAAATGTCGGTTTCCTTTCACTTCCTCTTTGCCTCCCTCCCCTTCCCACCACCACCACCACCTCGAATATCATACGATGCGGGAGCTTATCCCGGGGCTAGGTGTAACCCATACCGGATCCAGATTGGACCATTAAGTTTACAGAGCTACTTGGTGAAATATCGGAATAGGACAGATAAATTGGATCTCCTTGGACCGCATATTTCTGATTTGATTGCTTCCACTATCCCCTATATATCGAGATATTTGTTTAAGTGAAGATATTGGAAAGAGAAGAAAGTGGAACTCAACAAAAAAGGATTGTCAACTGGGCAAAGATCGTGTATGTGTAACACATGTTCAGTGTGCAATGGCTGACTCCATCAATTAGGATCATAGAATTGAATGTCTTGCACAAGCAAGCGGGTCCTAAGGAATTTTACTACTGTGAAGATCGCTCCCCATTTATCAGAATAAAACTCACTCCAATACCGGGAGATAAATGTTTCAAACAATGAGCATCATGGCCGGGACCGAAATCGCACGTTTTGAAGGTGAATTTGAAGATGAGCTAATAAATCCACGTTGCATAGTGATTTCAGCTGGATCCGTCTGTTTGTAAGCGTTTTCAGTTGTTCAGTTCGCTTAGAGCGTGGGAACGACGATGGACAATCGGAAAACATCTGTCTGGGATTTCGGTGCTTGACGCCAAATGGATATGGTCGGGATGTCAATCACTTATTTTAGACTAACATCCGATTAAGTCGAAACGGCACTTTTTAGTTCGCGCGCGCTCTATACACGGCGAAATTCCTCATATATAGTTTGTGCGAGAATATCAAAACATTCGTGATCACGGTCGAAGTAAACATTATCATTTGGCTTTTGGTGACATTAAGCCTTCTTAAACCCAATCACATTATCGGTGCTCGGATGGAATGATAGTTGACAGCACTTTGACGAACTTCAAATTGGCCGAAACACAGGGTTGTACACAAAGCATCCCTGTACCCGCGCCTACGGTAGTTTATATGACCAAAAGTGTTTGATGAAAACAAGATAATGGGCTAAGATACCATTAAATTAATGGAAAATATGATGCAACCCAGCGTTTTCAACTTTCCTATTAAATTTCATAACAATGCTTTGAAGAGCTATAGAGTAATTTCTCCCTTTATGACATTCCATTGTACGATGATGACCAGCGGATGGGAGAACGGCAACTACATGGCCACGAGGACCTGTTATTTATTCGTGGAGAGCGATCCGGAATTTACTGATGATCAGCGTCTACAACCGCCAGTCCCGCCTTGTGTTAACATCAATCTTCGCCGCGAAATTTGCTAAACTGCATAACTATTTCATTTAAACTCGTCACATATTTTCAACTTGACAGTTCAGTAAGCATGCCGATCTTTTAGATCGTACGTTCGAAAGTCTAGATATTGATGTATGTTGCCTCTCGGAAACACGTATCCAAGATCTGAGCTTGGTGATTCTATTAACGTCTACTTCCAATCTTAAAGAAGCGTTTCAACTGCGCGTCTCCGGGGTTTTATCGCTTCAGCGTCTGGCCAAGCAGGCGTTGGTACTGCCTTGAGCGATAGGGCCGAGGCTGGTCTATTGGACTGGATTGCGACAGATAGCCGACTATGCGCGGTGAGACTCAGAGGCTCAAGTAAGGTCAAAAAGCAGAAATCAAATGAAAAATGCTTATTCGTGGTTTCTTCATACGCTCCCACAGACTGTAGCCCGGATACAGTTAACGACGCCTTCTATCAGGACCTACATGAGCTTCTTCTCAAAGCACCCCAGACGGATATCGTGATCCTGGCCGGAGACCTAAATGCACGCATTGGTCGT